GAAAGGAATTGGTTTCCCGGGATAATCTGCTATGGTTACTTCCATCCTGCTTTTGTTGTATCTGGGATTCTGCAGCAATAGTATAAGCAGTTTCCGTCAGGCAAGGCTTGCAGGACTGTGAACATGGTTTGGCAAAACCGCGTGAGCTGCTCTGGTAACGCAGTGTAATTCACTCGAGCGCTGAGACACAGACGTGCGTGCTGGTGGCAGCACAGTACGCAGAGTGGGGCAGGCTGCCAGCGGTGTTCTCGAGTCGATCAGATCTCCTCTGTTTTTACGGCTGTTATTTTCAATTTGAGTTAGTTCAGGGCATATCTTTTTCTCTGGAGTGTCTCCAAATGTTCAGCTATTATTATATTTCTCTCTGATTTTTCCTCTTCTCTCCCTTTGACTTCCCAGTCTTCTTTTGTCTGTCTTGTTCTCATTTCTTTTGTGTGTGTGTCTGCAGGTGGCTTTTACAGCAAAGCCTCGCTCCGCTTTGCCGCCCGTCCCCCCCGCTCTCCTGTTTTGCAGCTCCATTGCCTATCGTATTTGTTCTTCTCCTTACGCCTGCAATTGCTCATTTGCTAAGAGATTCTCTTTGGTGTATCAATATTTTTTCCACTTTCCTTGTCTCCATGCTATGGAAAGGAATGAATCCCGAGGCTGCTCTGCGGAACAGGCCACAGTCTCCCATGGAGAAGAGGAGGAGGATGGTGGCTGAGCRCTAGGGAGGTTCAGGGCAGCCCAGTGGCTCTCAGTGAACAAGCTCCTTAGGTGTCCTGCACAACAAATTCTATAAGCTGCGCAGAAAAATGTAAAAAGGAGAAAAGGTATTTTCATTTTTGCCTTCTCTCTCCACACTCGTAGCTGTGAACACAGTGCCGGCTCTTCCTGTGCTGGCTTCCTGCTTGGGTATAGCTGCTTGCCAATAATCTCTGATTCCCGAAGGAAGCGAGTGAGCGGGGCGGCCGGCGCTGCTCTCGCGGGCTGCACGGCCCAGCTGCTCCTGCTCGCAGGCAGGAGGCAGAGGGATGGCCGCAGCCCTTCCACGGGGTCACCCCAAGCTGTGGGCGCTGACTTCTGCAGGCTGGTGCCAGCTGCACAGCCTGGGCTGCCGGTGGCGTAAGGAGCACAGGAGGAAAAGGAGGAAGGGGAAAGTCTTCAGCAGCGAGGGAGACTGGTGCTGGGGGTGCCCAACCTGCTGCTTCTCGACCTAAAGACTGATCCCGGTGCCACTTCCCTGCAGTTCTCAGTTTCTGCTCCATTTGCTGCCCACAAAATTTTTCTGCACTCTTGAGAGGAAAAGAGTCAAAAGCATCTGCAGCATCTGAAGACCTCCTTTTTCCTTCTTTTTTTTTTTTTTTATTTTTTTTTATTTTTTTTATTATCTCTCCTTTTCTGTCTCACAGACATCCCGCTTTTGGGTAGCCAGCTCCACACGCTGTTGGGAACACTGCACTCTTTGGAATATGCCCATGGTGAGGCCGGTGTGAGTGCTCGTGCTGCAAGCTGGGGCACGTGCAGCCTTGGTTGCCAGCACCGTTCATGTTCTCTGCCCTTCGGGAACGGCAGCGCTGGGTCCAAGCGGCACAGCCTGGCCGTGCCCAACCAGGGCAGCCACGGGCGCATTCTGAGCGCAGAGTATCTGGTTAATGCATCTGTGCAAAACAAATTCCTTTCCAGTGCAAAGGATTTACCTTGGCATGGGAAACCAGCAATAAAATTGTTTGGGATTTTTCTGGTTACACTTTCCTTGAAAAACCCTCTTTCCAAACTCCAATCTATTGGAATAGAATCTTTCCCTATTCCAATCTATTTTGAATAATCTAGTGGATTATTATCTGCTTAAAAAAAAAAAAACAAACTTGGCATTTATCCAATTTCATGGGGAAAAATGTCAAAGCACCAAATGGAAAGACTGCCAAACTATTTCTGTTGAGCCTTAAACCCTGCAAGCTACTCCTGACTAACCAGGCCTCCACCAGGGGCTTAGCTTAGACATCCCATGACAGTACGGGTGCAAGCTCTACCTTACACYGATGTTCATTCAACTATTTCCCAAATATCATCCAAATATAGATGAATTTACCCATTATTAAATAATGYATGCAGAAAGCAGGATAAATGTACCACTGCTTCACTTAATCCTATGACCATGCAGATAAGGAATTAATGTCCATACACTTTATCAGCCTTGCAAATCAATGGCACACGCAGCAGGCACAACATGATTCAGGCTGAAACAAGTAAACGTATCAAGCAGAGGTTTTCCTTTACATCCRGAGAATCCCGTCCAGCAGGAGTCTCTTTATAACCTGGAACCTTTCTTCAATATAGTTCGAGGCCTCTTGCCTRACTTACTTTTGGGCAAAGCCAAATGCCTTAGTAATTTCAGCAGTGACTTAGCTGGGTGCAGGCACCTGCGTGGGAAGCAGAGGGGCACTGTGCAGTCCRGGCAGCTGGGAAAGAGCAACTGTGAGCGATCCACCCCAAACTCCTAACTTGGAAGAGGCTTTTAACAGGGAGTGGCAAAATCAAAGTCAGAGAGGGCCTGGGGCTGGGAAACCTCACTGCATCTCCACAAACACTCAGCGACCCCAAACTCAGCCACATTTACCCTGCAAACAGCACGGTCGGAAGGGAACGCCACCAGGCTCGCCTGGTGCATGTTTGCTGGGGTAGCTTCCTGCATGACTGTTAAAGAGGTGATTGAGTAAAAGTGTCCGAGTGACAGACAAACAAACACACACAAAAAAGCAATCCTGCAACTTATTTACAATGTTTCTGGAAGCTTTCCACAGCTGCGAGCCACTTTGGCACTGACAGCAGAAATACTGGTGTTCTCAATACTTTCATCACATTGGAATCATGATGTTTTGACAGGCTGAAGAATAGGAGTTGCCACAAGGGAAATTCCCCATAGTGGCATCTGCGAAGCACTGAGGTGTGTCTGCTCGGAGCAGAAGGCAGCAAGGCAGCGCGCAAGCGTCGAGGTTTCCTCCCGCGAGCAGCCTCATCGCTGCCGGCAGCTGCTCTGCCAGTGGGACGTGGTCCTGCAGAGCAGCGCGTGCAGAGGTGGCCGGAACAGAGAGGCACTTGGAAAAGAGGGATGTCTGGGAAAGGGCAGACAGCTCCTCAGGGTAGCGGCACTAGAAGAAGCGGCTTCCTTGCGCTGCGCTCTAGGGRTAGCCTGTCAGTGCCACAGAGCTGCTCCGGCTCCCGCTCGCGCTCAGGCAGCAGCTCACACAGTTCTGGGGGACACTCCAGCACCACAGCCTCACAGAAGCTCGTGCAGAAGTTTCACTCATTGGCATATGGCAACCCATTAAGATGCAACTGTTTCTGTGAAAGGTGTGACTCTACAGACCTGCCCTTGCTAAATAAAACTATCCAAAAGGTTGAAAATGCATTGCAACATCTTAGGGGAATGTGGGAACAGATTTTTTTCTGGTTTTCAATCCAAGATAACATTTCTCTTAAAAAAAAAAAAAAAACCAAAACTAGATCAACTTATAATAATATATATAACACATTGAAAGCATAACATAATTTTTCACCTGGAAAAGTAGGAGTAGCATTTTCAAAAGTATTTTCAAAATGTCCAACTTCTTCAACCTTTGGTTAAAAAAAACCTCTGAAATATGAAAAGCCCCTCTAAAGTTTTCCCAAAGGAGAATCATTCTCCGCTCGGCTCCAAGGCGTATCTGCTAGCAGCGTGCGCCCTGTTAGTGGCTCGCTCGGAGCAGCCAGAGGAACCTCTCTGCTCTTCCCAACACCATTTCTGCCACTTCTACCATTGCTCGCCCAGGTAGCAGAGACCGGAGCTGCGCGTGGGCACCGTGAGGAAGAAGGGCAGGGAAAGCAAAACCCCCTCTCTGGCCTTTCCTCTCCAGCAATAAATCTGGTCCTGGCTTCCCACAGCTCAGCCTCGTTAACGAGCTGTGGGAAGCCAAGTGGCTCAATTCCCTAAAAATCCTGGCAAACTGCGGGCATATTTGGCTCCTGCCAAATCCTGTGGGCACTGGGGGGTGGCCCACTCGCTCCATCATCATAATCCTTTTCTTCCCTAACAACCCAGCTTCCTTTCTACACGACCATAATCCCATGCTTGCTGCTATGGGAGTTGCTGCGGTGTCACAAATCCGGCACACGGCTTTGTCACCGTGAAATTCCAGGCGCCATGACAAGGTTCTCGGCCTGCAATCAGCTCCTGGTACCTCAAATCCCAAACAGCTCTGGAAGGGCTATCGCTGTTGTGCAGAAATTGGGCCCTGCAGGTTGAGCACACAGGCAGTTCTGAGCAAACTCCTCAGACGTGAGAACAAAATTCCACGAACAACCAATAAATTAGGATACATCCTGAAGAGAAAAAGGCTTCAGGCTGTAGTCCCTACTGCAGTGGGACAAATAAACCACTGCACTGACGTGGGGCAGGTAATGRTATAAAGCGCTACGTAAGTGGTTGGTAGCACTTGCTTTTAGTTACATCTGTCMGAGAAAATGCTGTCTTGGTATGAAATTGTGACACTGGTTATCAGAGGAAAAGGTGAAAACATGAGAAAAGTGTGAACTTGAAGCACTTATCTAGTGACAGAGACGGGCACAGCCCAGTGGGACAAGCCCACCCTGCCGCGCGGTGACCACGCTCGGGCTGACGGCTCCTTTGCGCCCACATTTCCAGCTCGGCACCGGCACAAACAGAATGACTCCGTTGCTGTTACTGAGATGACCTTGGAGGAAACTTCAGGTTTGGTTTGTGTGTTGAAACTGTGGCAAATTCAGTCTTTGTGTTGGTTCAAAGATGCTTTCTGGCGCAGGAGTGAGCATGCACTACAAGGGCTCCTCGGCCTCTTACCACACTGCCATCCGGAGCACAGGCTTTACCACACCTTGGAGCAAAGACTTGTTGCACTAGGTCTCATGGCACATCCTGTGCAATCTGTACTGCATAATGATGTCAAAATATAACTCTTTCTAAGTCGTGTTGGTTTCCTTTAACGCAGATGCTCCGCAGATGAATAAYGTGCTGCCAACGTCTCCCCTCCTCCCTCAGATGGCACATCAGCACTCATACCCCARCCTGGGGCAGATCACCAACCCGTATGAGCAGCAGCCGCCGGGCAAGGAGCTCAACAAGTATGCGTCCCTGAAGGCTGTAGGTAAGTGAGCGGCGGGGGCGCCATGCGACGTGACGCCACACGGCCGGGCCGGCCTCGCGCACACCGCTGCCCGCGGGGCTCACACAGGGCATCGCGCGACGCTGTGGCCGTTGCTGCAGCCTCACACATGGCCGGCAGGTTTATTTTTCACACGGCAGTTTACTTAGGATTAAAGGTGATACTTCAGCATAATAAAATGAGAGATTAAACAACATAACAAAACCCCCAATAACAAAAAAGAAGCCTTCTACTCCATTGACCCAATAGCCACTGCCTGATGTACTTGGTTTTGCTTTCAAACTATTAACTTAGAACTTGTTTTCTGTGGATAGACTACTGAGAAAGCAGGTGCTGCAACAGCCCTGGGGCAGCTACGGCAGCAGCTGCTGTTTCCTGAGCACTGTCTCTTGCTTTGGGGGCCCTTTCCCCCTTTTAAATGACTGATCTACCTTAACCAGATGAACAGATCAGCTACAATAGGGAATCAAGGACAGAAGGGATCAAGAATATTTTTTAAAAGCAATTTTGGCTTTCAATTTCCTGACTTTTAAGACTGTAGTAAAATTCTGGCGTTTTAGAGTGCTTTAGTAATCTGGGCACAGACATGATCCCTGGAAGACACCAACAACTGGAGGGTGGAACAGAAGTATGGGAAGGGAAGACTGAGTCCTTCGAAATTCAAGTAGCCTCGAAATCACGGGCATGCAAAGTTTTTCCCTTTTACCGTGCCACACTCAAGCAGAGACACACAAAGGAGACTGACAGGGATGAAGGAGGGGTGCCCCAGAGCCACCCTCACTGCCTCTGGACCTTCCACTGCTGTCCTGTTGAGTGTGSGTGCAGCGTCCAGCAACATCACAGAAACAGGCTCTCCTGGGGTCTTCTTTGGCAGCTTCAGCAATGCAGGGTGTAGCTGCAGAATGAGGGAGTCTTTTGGACTTCCGAGGCAACAGAGTGATAGGGAAGGCCAAGGATGAGAGTCTTCTTAGCACTTCACGAATATTTGAGTGTAAATTTATTTATAAAATTCATTTAATTAGAGGTATTTCTTGGGTGTCTGAGTACAAGTTTCTAAAGCAGCTGGATGGTTACAGTGCAGTTAAATCAACCTTGAAAGATCATGTACTACAGCTCCAGAAGTTCGGTAATACTTCTCAGAACCTGTAACTAAATTAAACATAACTTCCAGGGATGACATCTTCCAGGAGGACTGCACCATCCTCCCTTGCTTTCCTCTTATCGGTGAGCACCACTGTCATATATTTTCTGCAGATGTACTGGTGTGAGACCACATCAGGCAGGCTTTASCTTCAGGTGCCTTTTCACAAGCAGAGCACAAAGGCACTGAGCTGCTCTTTTCACTTTATTTCCGCAAGCCTTTAACCCTGTTCCCGCCGGCGCCTCTCCTTTGCCCGCAGCTCGGCCGGGCTGTGGCCGCTGTGGTGCTGCCGGGGTTCCTGCCGCACAGCCCTCGCCGGGAGGCAGCCCCCACAAACACACTCCACCATGAGCAGCTTTTCAGCAGACACACACAGSTCACAACCACCCTGCACGGCATTCACGCCACAAAGCCAGAACACTTTTCACACACTACGCTTCAGAGCTGGGTTTACCAGCCCGCACGGCAGCTTTGTGAGTCCATTTCCTTTTGTGCTCACTGATAATTGCTCGAGGGCGGATGCAGTTACCCACAAAAATAACCACATAAGGAACATGTATTTTATTTCCCCATGTGTTTGTGGCAAACATGGTAATTTAAGTGTAGTTGACTCTAGGTGCAGCTGCTGTCAGGAAGTAGTCTGTTGTGCTCAAATCTCTTCTTTAACAGGGGGATAGGAGGTGCGTTAAACACTCCTATTGCTGCGTAGCAGCCAGAGTTAAAGTTTATTAATACCACCCACCATAACATGGTCATAAGTGAGTAACGAGTGCCTGAGGTGCCAGGTCAAAGCTGAGCACTCCTGGCTGCGCTCCCCACTGCAGCCCTGCTTCACTCTCCTGCTTACACACACGCACCTGCATGGGCCAGGCAGTCAGGACCACCCGACCCTGAGGTGGCAGAGGCAGAGGGTCAACAAGAATTACGGAAGAAGCCCAAGAATTAAGGAAGAATCAATCCAGCTCCCGGCATCTCTAAACCGCCCGACTGCTGCATTCTCTGGGGACACTATTTGCCTGTTCTTACTGAGCCAGAGAACCTTTGGTCAAAAGGGTTAAACTCCTCCCTGCAAGGATCACCGGAGACCGTGTCAGAGGGAGCAGGGCTCTAAAGCTCGCTCTTAACATCAGTCCTACCGGAAGTGGCCACTGAATGTTGTGTGGCAATAAAACACTCACTGTTTAGGTATTTCCATTTTTCAGTCACCCAAGATGACATGATCGTGGTTTCCTTTGGTGCTTCTGGAGTATYTGATTATTTATGTGAAAAGTGCAGAAAACGGGTTTTTTTCTGCATAAATTATTCTTATTTCCAGCTCATCAACTGTGTTTGTACTCCATGCTTAAATGGTTATTGCTCATTTAAGCAATCCTGACATGACCAATGCTTCAAGTGGACTGAGATCATGTATCTGAACACCTTTGCGAAATTCACATCCTAGGGCATACTAAATATGAAGGTAGCTCATCACTGATTCTTTTTGCACATTATTTGGAGGTAGCTCATCACTGATTCTTTTTGCGCATCATTTGGACATTCATTCAGAAAGCATGAGCAGGCCAAATCACACTCTGCTTGCTTTAAGAGAGGGGTCCATGCTGTAGCTAAAGAAAAGTTCCCTAGGACTTGAATTAGTGCCCCGTCCCGAGGAGTTAGCTCTTTTCATTCACTCGTTTAGGACAAAGGTCCACAAACCTGACTCAGTAAAAGTTAACCACCCTTCTTGACTTTCAGGCRATGCAAAATGGCAAAAAAAACGGCAAATTTTCCTTAGAACTTTTTAAAAACAGATCAAAAAAGACGAGAGCAAATTCCCCCAAAGCTCCCAGACCTGAGCTTAGCAAGCCCTGCAGGACTGGCACACTGACTGCTCAGCTGCTGCGGAGCTGCACCCGCTGCATGTAAAATCTGAGAACAGAACTAATTTGACAGTTTAATATGATTTTTTTTTTCTTCTATAAAATCTCATTACACACCTGCACATGCAAACCTATGCAGAACTGACTGAGCCTGCCGTATAGCTTAAGTTTCTGCTAAAAATCAACCCCACAATGCACAGAATTCCTCCCCAAAACTAAGATCCAGAAAAGCCTTCCCTGATGCAGGGAGCTGTGGTCTCCTGTGCAAGTGAAATCAGACCTAATTGACTGGATATAGTGAAGCAAGGAGGAGGATGTAATGAAGAGCAACCTCGCCATCACATCTTGGAGTCTATGGCCCCCAGCGTTTCTTGAGGTTTTCTACTTCTTGGATCCCACGGGAGAATGYTAGGCTGTTCTCCAGCTCTGCTTCCAGCTGCAACCCCCCAAGCGAGTTRCTGTAAATACGACACTTGAAGGAGAAGCATCTCCTGCCTGGTCTCCTGTTGCTGTGCAGAACACAGTGGGCTGCAGCGAGCCAGTGGAGTTGCTCATGTGCGAGAAAGCTGTCCTGCTCGTCGGTGACATCTGCATACCCAGGGACCACGTGGCAAGGACCTCATCGCAACGTTAACCACAGCGGTTAACCCTGAACTGTCCTGCTCGTGTGAAATTTGGTAGTGCGTGACAGGATGCTTCTCTTAAGCTCCAGATCTTCAATTTGCATACAAATGATTCTCACTTTGTGTTGATATAAGAACTGCCTTAGGAGAATAAATGGGGCTTCCCAATTGCCTTGTAAGAAGCTGATACCAACCTCTGCATTGCTCTGTGCAGGCCACTGGGCTGCCTCTCAGGGGCCTCTGCAAAGACAGGAAGGGCTGGGAAGATATGCTGTGAYTGGAAAAATGCTACTATGGAAACACACAACAGGGAGAAAGATCTGAATGTGCACTCATAGGGGAGATTGTGTTGACTTTTTAGAAAAACTGGAATTGCAGAGTTACTGGACACAACCTGTTTCTGATACTTTTCTTTCCTATATCAAGCACCGAAACAAGTCATGTTTCTTCAGAAGGCTTAGAAAGGAATTGCTTTTTCATTTTAAAAACTAAAGAAATCTTCAGCTCTTACTTCCCTAAGTAGTTGCACAAAAATGGATTAAAAGATATGAGACTCATGAAAAGCTCACTGAATGAAATGACTGGACAACAGGAATGGAATTACAGATGAGGGCATCATTTGTCATCTCCTAAGAATGACTCAGTTGTTAATGATTACATATATCGAGAGGTATGTTCAGTGTCTTGCCTAATGGAGACTTGGCAACTTGCCTTTTCAACACTAAGGCTATAGATCTATCTGGAGCAAATATGACAGAAAATCTTGAGAGCTTTTCATTATTATTATTTATGTAATCCAGTGTGGCTGGAGGATCTGGACCGTCTGGGTGTTCATTTGCCAAGTCTTTCACACTCTAATTCCTGCCTCTGCTTCAGCTAGAGGCAAAATTATTCCAATAAACCCTTGGTAGTAAATCTGGCTTTGGCAAGCCCTGCTGCTCCTGGCAGGTAGATGAACCTCCTGTCGCACTTACTCCAGTCACCTCTTCCTTAGTAGGAAGTAGTATTAAGGAAGAGGTGACTGGAGTCACCTGCCAAGTCTGGCAAGTCTGGCCGAACTTCACACCYTACTCCGCTTGTGCAGACTTCCAAGACCTGTTCTTACTTCCATTGAATCATTCCACTGGTTGCTCCTTCATTTACCAAACCGCTTGCTGATACCCACAGGCACTCTGTCACAGATAAATAAATCTGCTGAAGATTCTTGATCAAAATAGTCCTCCATTTTACTGTGGACACTCCATTTTACCTAGCACACTAAGTTCTTTGTCCCATGAACAGCAGCCATATCTTCACTATTTTAAGCCTTTTGTCCATGCAAAGCCTTCGTATCCCAAGCAAGATGAGCTACACTGCAAA